GTCAGTCCGTCAGTCCGTCAGTCCGTCAGTCCGTCAGTCCGTCAGTCCGTCAGTCCGTCGGTCCGACTGGAGAACCATGGGGAAATTGTATAGGAAAAGAAAGTGTTTATCGTACTCACGAGGAACACGACGTACGGAGCGACTATCCCTCCCACACGAGACAACATGGAACCAACTCCTAAAGAAAGATTCCTAAGAAATAACAAAGAACATTGAAATAAATCAAAAAAATTGAAAGTTACAAAATTAATATACTATGAAAATCATTAGGCTGAGGCACCCACAGGCAGCCCAAGCAATATTTTTGTGTACAATTTACTGTAAATGTTTGTGGTCAATCTGCTAAGATACAAAAGTGAGGTTTGGTTTAATAACATTTGACAAACTTTGATACGTTTTTTTTAATGTGTTCTATTTAGTGACGATATAAAAGTTAGCTAAGTCATATTTGCCACAATATTAATTCCCAAAATTCGCTCTCTCCCTCATAAATCTATTTAGTGGTCTCCGCTGTTGAGGCTACTTCAGTCTCCACACTGTCTACTTGACCTATAGAGTCAGCTGAGGGACATGAACCCCGAGTCAGTTCAACTATCGTGCATTAGCTTACTGTCTTTATCGGTTGACATAATTGTGGACAAGGTTGTAGAAAGGTTATATCCCATCGAGTGCTTGGTAGTGCACAACCCCATCCAACATCACCCTCAACTTACTTGTTACCTGAGTAAAGTTGGACTCAATTCAAGGTTGTAAATATAGACTCCTGAGAATGTAGCGATGATACAAAAATTCCCGATTATAGCCAACGCTTTAACTGCAGGATGGTCCCCTGAATGGAAAAATAAAAATGATTAAGTAGAGTTTTAACCATTTTTGGCATTGTCTTATCAAGTTTTGTCCATCATTACTACCTACACCATATCATTCCATATCATGTACAAGTTGTTTCTTATACCCCGCTAGAAAATCTAGGACAATGTTTACTTGGATTACTTTATAATCGGGATATAGGCTCTTTAGACATGATCTTAATTTGGTATATTTCTGTTGTTTTGATAGTGTTCGTTCTTCAATAATGCCTATATTACAAACAGTTCCTTCCATGATCAACAGGGTCTTCTTCTCTTTGTCCTTTATCACTATGTCCGGCTTGTTAGCTCCGTTCTTTGGTGCAACCTTCAGATGTATTGGAATATCCCAGAGTATTGTTGCTTTTTTGTTCTTTACGACAGGTTCAGTTATTGGTTGTTTGTGCCATGGTTTTTACAGATCTTCATCTTTAGTGAACCCATAGGACGATATGATTTGATGGTAAATAGGGCGTAGCATCAGATCGTGTCTTGCCTTGTATACGGATTGTGCGATAGCAGAACATTCGCATACTGTAGCAAGTGTGGTATTGTTTCTTCTTGGACGTGGCATAACCTGCATCTTAGATCTCCTCCTCCTTCCTTTAACTTCTTTCTATGATATACCTTAGCTGTCAGTAACTGTTGCAGGATACTAGTGTGTACACTGTAAACAACGTCAGGAATGATCTTCTATATCTTAGGGATGTTATAACTTTCTTTCTCTAGAACTTTGTCTTGCCATTGTCTAAGAAGCTAATTGTTCCCAGAGATTCAAGGAATTTCCTTTTTACATTATCACCCCTATATCCACAGGACACCGAAGATAATTTTAAAATTTAGCCCTTTTTTTATTTATTTAAATAACAAATAAGTTTTTATATATTGTTTGTACCTGATGTTCCTGGGACAGCAATGACCATGGCACACGCTATGCCACCAAGTAACATAAAAAGACAATAACAGATACGACGACCCAGTCTGACAGCAACAACATATAAAAATAGAATTAGTTATATTAAAAAGACGTTTTAGTAGGACGAGGGAAAAGAAAAAAGAAAAAAAAAAAAAAGACCCTCCATAGTGAAATATTGGAGACAGCACGGGTGGCGGTGTGGGCCTCTCACCAATCCGACATGTGATCAGATGAGTTGCGCATGCTTGTAATCGTTTTCTCCTGTGTTTTGAGGATGTTGAATTTCGCGGATTTTTAGTTATCAGGTTTTCTTTAATTCCTCTACAATAATCAAATTTTGAATTCAATTCCATCTGGCGCTGTAAAGTTTAAATTAGGCATTCCGAGGTTTAGGTAAGCACTGGGTCGAGTAGGTATTGCAGTGTATTATGGGAATGTTTTAGGTGACTAGCTTAGTTCAAAGATGGCGTCTATTTCGTCCTCTACACCCCCACAATGCACTGTAATGTCAACTCAACCAAGGACTGGTAAATACGAGCTTCTGGCTCTAGAGACTGTGAATCATGAGAATTTCCATACCTCTTAAGAACGTACCATAGTAATAATATTGATGGAATGCCAACACCAAACAGGATAAACGCGTTTAGATACAGCGATCCACCAAGGTTCTTGGCGTTCAAAGTGATGCCATAAAATATCACAGAATTTACGAACCTGTTTTGTAAAAAAGGGAATCCAATAACAAATACTAATGAGTAGTTCTAACTGATAGTTAGTAATATAAAGCATTCCTTGCTTTACGAAGGTAGCACTTAATAGCCAGTGGTTAACAAACCTGTCAGGCATGTTCAATGTTCAAATTGTAACTCATGTTTAGATGATGATTATTGCAGAGGGAGGCACACCGGAGAAAATATACGATGCACAGGAGACTGCAACCCGTCCCCGGCAAGACAAAAATATGAATGATACTATTGGGGTTAAATTATTATTAGTACTAACCATGATGTGGCTAGCCATATATCAGTTGCAATCGTTTCATCCCTTCTTTAGCTTTATTTAGGTTTAAACTGGCCAACAATGAGAAAACGTCATCCCCACCTCGCAATAAAGCATGATGTAGGTCTACATACCAGTTATAAGCTAACACCAAGGAACGCTTTCTCATCTTGGGAGTCCTAACAAGGTCAAGGATTCCAGTCATACTCTTTTTATCAGTTTTGATGAAGGTATGTGATTCAGCATTCTTGATGTCCTGGATGGTCGAGGCGATTTGATTGGAATCTACTTGCACACTGTTTGTTGACGCGAAACTCTCGAATACTGTCTGAGCTTCTTTTAGCTTTCCTTTTGCTATTAGCCACCGAGGTGATTCAGGAAACCATCTGAGAGAAGAAAATTAATTTTAAAAAGTTACTTTTTACCAGTTGACACGGAAGGAGGGAGGGAGAAAAGACAGACAGACAGACAGACAGACAGACAGACAGACAGACAGACACACCTTTATTTGAAAACGAAAGTTCCATAAGTATAAAACTTCTTTACATGGAAGTCGTTATTGATTAATAAAATATAAATATATAATCCTAAAAAGTTGAAAAATATTAGAAATGATTTAAATAACAAAGAGAAAAATCCTACTGAGAACTGACAGCACGCCATCTCATCGGACGTTTTTTAAATTCATTCTTTGTTGGAGCAGATTTAATTTCAGAGGGGAGAGAGTTCCACATCTTAATAAAAGCTACTCCTGAAAAAGTCTGTTTTTGGGATGTATGGTATTTCAATTTGATCGTTTCCTCTTAATTTAGATTTATAGGTGCTCGAATCCGAGGACCTCATATTAAATAAATTGCTTAAATACGATGGGCAATTTTCATGGAGAACGTCAAACATGAATTTAACACAGTCTTTCCTCTCGTCTTTCTTTCAATTTGTCCCAGTTTAACTGTTGCAAAATGTCAGCAGACCTCACATCAGAGAGAGAGAGAGAGAGAGAGAGAGAGAGAGAGAATGTTCTCGGACACTTTATATAAATTCAAAATTCAAATTGCGAGGTTTTAACTTGCTAGGTCGACTTTTGCTTTCACTAGCACGCATGTAATGCAATTACATTCAACATTCTGTGTGCGCAAATCTCAACTCATGAGAAAATCTTCCAGAATGTTGGAGACTGCAAGATCAGGGATTCAATTTATATTGACGTCAATGGAATTGCAGAAAATACAATCGTTATTTGAATATTGTCGTGAAATGTTCTATACTCTCCGCCATCTGCTGGATGTTTTACCCGGCAGGTTACCTGTGTGGGTGCATACCTCCACAAAAGTATTCCTGGGATACCGGAAAGAGTGACAGCCAGCATCAAATCGCGCCATTCAGGTAAGCAGTAAGCTAACAGGGTCAACAACATGGCACCTATTGCTACAAATAAATTGCAAATAATTCCCATGGATGTACGCTGGGGAAGTCTAGATATCTCCATACAGTACACGAACTTGACCAACATGGAACCGGAAGTAGATAAACCGGAACCAAATCGCATGACGGCGAAGAGTGTGAGACTGTTGGCGAACGTGGAGCCAAACCCAAATAAAGCCTGAAATATTGATAACACACTATTAGACCGTGCATGGTGGTTAATCAGACGGGAGGGGAATAATGGTGCATGATAATGATAATGGTGCATGATAATGATGATGATGATGATTTCGATGATGCAACGTTAACGAAAAAGAAGCCTGCAGAGGGGAGAATTCTCCTATGAAAGTATCAGTGTGATGCTCATCATGATGTTAGGGGTCAAGTTATTTGTTGCATTTTGTGCAACGTGCAACGTGCGACCAAAACCATCACTATGCAACATTTTTTGAAATAGTTTTGGTCAGTAGCAAGGAATGCAGAATACGTAATACTATATCCACCGGATAAATCTTTTTCAGTGGATAAAACCTATTACACATTCTATACATTGAATAACTTTATCCAGCATTCGTTCAACCGCCTTCTGCACTAGTTGCGCTGCCTTACTCGTTAGACAATAAAATATGTCACATTTTAAATGGAAACTATCTTATCTTTAATGGCTCTTAAATCTGTAATCCATGTACGCACGACATTAATCTTCTTACCATCAAAATAAGACTGACAAAGGTCGTTGGTTTTCTTCCAAAGTGGTCTGAGAACTTTCCAAATCCCACAGAACCGATGAGAAGTCCCGCCATGAAAACAGCCTGGGTCATTGCTTTGAGGTGGCCACGCGTGCAGATCAAATTCCACTGAATGAAAGAAGGTAAACATGTCAGTAATATAACGATATCACGGCAATAGCAAAATTACAGCACAGTTCATTATTATAGGATAATATTAAACAACAAATTACTCTATTTTCTCAAAAAACGCCGGGAAAACAAGAGAGGTCGACTTGGGGCAAGTCTATGCTCTCAATAATATATATAGTATTGTGCAAGTGATTTTTTCTTTCTTTTATTGGTAAATGTCGGATCAATTTGCTGTTATTATTCATCTTTAAACTTGTTGTATTCTCTTGTGGTGAGCTGTCATATCAATCGACACGTCATTACTGTAACAAAGCTTTATTATTTGCCCCCTGGATGTCTCATAATGCCTTGCGATCCAAGATGGCCATCGTATCGTCGAAGTAGTCCATTCGAAGTTCCAACTCCCCTTAGTTACCGTTGCTATGACCCACAAGTTTAACGAATTAGCTAGAATATCTCACAATTTAAAACTCTGATCGCGGAAATTCAGTAATTATGAATTGTTTCAAGATTTACTGTCATGCGAAAAGAATATAAAAATTGTCTCGTAATCCTTGAAGTACTCTTCAAAACAGATACTGTGAAGTTGTTTGTGGGACAAGATTTTCATTCCACTAAGAAAACTGCTACAACATTGATTGGTTCGCTATATTGACCCTCCAATTTTGAAAAATTTCAAAACATCGCTCGTATACATATAAATTCCGAATTGTACTCCAGATCGGATCGTGCGATTTCCTACACTAATATGCTGATCAATCAATCCAAGCCAAAAAACCTTCAATATTTCAAATAATTTTACAAGGACTGATCATAATAGTTATCAAGATAACAAATTGTCAGTTAACTGCTTTAATTTATAAAAAATATCACTTGCTTAACTGTAAACCCAATCCACACCGTCCAACAAGGAATCAATATACCCTTTTCGAGTTCCAAATTACCGCTGCGTTCCTTGATTACAGCGTCATTTACTCGGGCTTAACCTGGAATCAGTGTCTAATTACTCGCAAAAATCAACGGTAAAGTAAARAATGCACAACTCCAACAATACAAACACTTTGAAACTTGAACTGGAACACGTGAATATTCTTAGCCTGAGTAAAAGGGTCTGTAATCAAGAAACACAGCGGTAATTTGGAACTCGAAAAGGGTCTATTGAAACTCTAGCTGAGACCCAATAATTCCAACAGAGAAGACTGCTTCAGCTCCACCCGGACCAGGCTCAGAGATCAAAGATTCTATAAAAACCTCATCAGTCTACCGCCATTTTCCTGATACCACTGCCAAGTCCATTGTTTTCACTGCGTTTGGGCAACAGCTGGCCATTCACACTTTCCTCATCATTCTGAAGAAGGTTATCATTAGCGTAGCCGAAACGTTCGTTAGGAGTCTTTTTTTCCTTATGGGCGTGTTTTTTGTAAAAAAAAAAAACTTATTTCTATATGTCATCATTACGCAAAAGCCTCAAAAGTACCTTAATTCTAAAGTGGTTTCGCTCTTGGGTCTGAAGAAGGTTATCATTAGCGTAGCCGAAACGTTCGTTAGGAGTCTTTCTTTTTTCCTTCAAAGTGGTTTCTTCCTTGGGTCATACGATCTATTGCCACGCAACACTAAAATCCTTTCAAAACATCTGAAAAATTTTGTGTCCAATTAAAGGACCATCAGCAAACAACTTGAAGTCTGTGATATTTATTTAAGGGTGAAGACTAATCCTCAAGGCTCACTAGGGAAGCCTAATTGATGACATTCTTTGTATATTTCTACGTTTAGTAAACAAGGGAGAAACATTACCGGTACCGAGTTTATAACATATTATTTCTTTTGAGACATTATTTTAAACATTGTATATAGCAAAGGCGGTTTCCTAATTTTTTTTTCTTGCTTTTGAAAAAATAGTTTTTCCATGACATGAACTAGTCTCGTCCAAAGTAAAATTCACTTAAAACGTCACTTGATTAAAATAGAAAAGACAATAATGATTCCCGCTTCCTATCCTATGCAAACACGACCCCGGGGTTAACATCTAAACACACGCACTAATAGCAAAAATATCAATGTCGAATGTACACAAAACTCTAAAATAAATAAGCAATATAAAAGCGTAATTTAAACTTTTCTGCGTAGGAAAACTCCTTAGGTTGAAACGGTACGAAGAATACGCATTACAAAAGTATAAAAAAAGTAAAAATCTTTGAGTTCATGCAGATCGAAGGAAACGGAAGAATTGCTATGACAGCTTGGTAAGCGGTTATCAATATCATAGAATTGTAAAAGTTCATTTTAAATTATATTGCTATCTTTGGCCTATTTAGCGTTGATCGCTAAGCATTAAAACCCCTATCAAGAGGCAATACACTTAAGATTACTTACTTCAGATACGGCGCTTGTAAACTCTTCAGCAAAAACGTATGTACAATTTTGACATCCACACTTATTGACCGGACAAGAGCTAGTGTTGTTCGGCTCATTAGAGACACATTCGTAATTCGGAGCAGTGCCGTAAAACGTCTGTATAAATGTATGGAAGCTCACTACAATCGTTACATACATCATAAAGATTGTTAGAAGAATAGGGTAGCGTCCAAAACCACCGACAAGCTGCCATAGGTCCTCGAGATCTGCCTTCGGTTTGCTTTGTTTTGCGACCATAATAACTTTTGACTGGAATGTGATGGATTAGCTGCTTGGTTATATTAGGAAATTGTTCAAAACAGCAACACTACGAGATCAGCTCAACTGCCGTTCGGTCTGGCTCAAGTCCAAATGACCTCTGACTTAGGTCAGGCGTATGTAAAGTATATTTGTGTTGTGCTAAATGTCAGAGGCTAATGTTCAGTGTGCAAGCAGTCGAGCTCCGGGAAAGGTCTTGACTATAGAAGAGACCTTACTTGAAAAAACATCAATTAAAAGTATATATAGCAATAGCACTCGGGTCACAAAGAAGGACCAAGAAATTCGCAAACCAATCTTTGACACAATCAAGTACTAGTATCAAATTTCTTAGTCCAAGGGGGTGGGGGTAATCAGCCAGTATTATGTCTCACAGGTGCATGTGGCTCACAGCTGATCTCAGAGCCACAATTAGCCACCTTAGAATGATCAAGAGAATGGGGCGGGTTTTGAATTTTACTCTAATTAGCAAAAGAATTATTTGTCATCTGAAAAACCTTCTCAATATTAATAAGTCTGTGAAATTTGAACGTGGTTCGTTAAAAATAACCAGAGCTGCGAGCCTTCAAAACTTGTGACAAATGACAGGTGTCCCTTGCAATTATTGATTATTTGTAAATTTTTGACACTGTTGAAGGCCAATAATTCTGTTTTAATTCAATCATATTAAAATTTGCCAGACTTATGACTAACCTTAAGATGCTTTTTCAAATGAAAAAGCGTTATTCAGCTCATAAAATAAGATTAAATTCAAAACTCGCCCCAGTCTCTTGCTCGTTTCTGAAGTGGCCAATGAACTTGCCAGAAGTCCAACCCCATCAACGAGTGTTTAAAGAAGAATTACCTTACGTTGGTGCGTTACCGTCTTGGCAATAGACTTGCCATAAGTCCAGTACTCTTGTCCACTCCCCCATCCCACTAGAGTGTTTCGAGATTTTATTCTTGATATAATAATATATATCGCATCACACTCTCGAATTCGCAGTTTGTAACCAACAGTTTTTGATCACGTGGCACATGTACACCAATTAAAAAAAGAAATTTTCAATCGCTGGATTGAAACATGCATGGCCAGCTGAGTATTTAGTTTCTCTACAGCAATAAGATAAAGATAGACATTTGCATGCGATTGCATAATTTGCATCCTAATACCAAAATCCCTTGCACGCTTTCAGTTGTTCAGCTAATTTGCACCAATTGTCTTATACCCCATTCACACCTAAACGTGTTTAGTTAAACTATGTTTTCATTAGGAAAAAAAATGAGAAACTAGAAACCTACAAAATAATGAAACTTTCTAAAATATTGTCAGAGCAAGACAAAGGATAGTTTACATGCACTATTTCACCAAATATTGTGCAGTACTCATAGATACAAACCTGTTTAGTTAAACCAAACATGTTTAAGCCTTGGCGTGAATGGGGTATTAGTATTCTCATGAGGCCGAATACAAACTTGAATAAGAAAGCAATTTCGCAAATTACGCCATCATGCAAACGTTAATAATTATACTCCAATTGTATTATTGTAGTGCAACAACGTGACCGAATCGTCCCTTGATGTAAATAACGATGAAACAGCTGCCATCTTGGCTGATCTAACAAGAGAAGCTCAATAGTCCCCTTCACAGTTCCCCGCGCCATCTTGAAAGGTAGCCATGCCTTTGCATCGAAGCGAGACGAACGGTGAGCATGCAATGATAGAGACCATTTTTAGCACCTTGTGCGACTATCCACGTCTCTATTATTGAAAGCTCATCGTTCGTCTCTCTTCGATGCAAAGGCACGGCTACCTTTCAAGATGGCTCAGGGAATCATAAAAGGAACTAATGAGGAATGCTTTGTATGTTTGTATAGCCAACCACATTTTGCGGTTATGACGTATTCTGACTTTATTATCTCTAGTTTTCAATGTTACATTTGTTTTTCAAGTAAATCTTTCAATTATTACCTAATTACATACTGAACAAGAGCCACCTTGTTGAGCACATGCAGTAAAAACAAGAAAACAGAGTTGATACTGAGAAATAGTAGCTATTTAGTAACTAATACTGGGAGTTGTTCAACCAGAACATTCATTACTCCAAGACACAAATGGTCTCATGTGTGTTTCTCTGTGTAGTGAATGTTCTGGTTGAGTGATAGTAACTATAGTGCTTTTATTTAACCCGTGAAAGAAAGATGGTTAGAGGTGATAAAAAGAAAGTAATGGGTTTACAGTCTACTTCTAACTGTCATGCGTACTATTTTTTCACGGGTTAAATAAAATCACTCTATTAATCATTAATCAAATAACTACTGTTTGTCAGTATCATGGTTTTACTGCAAGTGGTCTACAAAGTGAAGTCATCTCCGCCATCTTGGGAATATTTTTTTGGCCTCCATTCGCATATTGTTTCTTTTAAAAGTGCTGCAACTCTTCTACTGCTTGTATCATATATAGCATGGTGCTTTATGAGGAACAATATTGTTATCTTATTTTCAGAGCGTTGTGTTTCCGAGCATTTGTATAAACCTACCAATGGTCTATCACAAATCCTGCGCTCTGATAGGCTGAGCTACTAATGGTTTATTAGTGATACTTAATTAGACCATTAGTAGCCAAATGTAGCGGTTTTGAAAACCAAAACATCACAAAAATAAAATAATAAGTTGAAATTTTTGTCAAGTGTGTGATGCAATACTAATAGGCTTGATGTAAAACAGTCTCATTTGCATTTTAGTGCGAACTGGCGGGAAAAGACCAAAAACAGGCAAATGGTATTATAATTCTTGAAGTGAGAGCAGCCAAATTCAACAAAACAGTAAAAAGGTTAAGCCGCCTATTATCACTACAGCTGACTGTGCGCACGTTGTTCCCTCGGCCTAAACCATTATCACGAACGTAAGGCGCCTAGAGGCAAGCCAGGCAAACCAGACAATACAAGGTTAGAGCAGATAGAGTACTTTTTGAATGACGATGAAAATCACTGCACAGCGCGGTCATGCTAGAGAGAAATTAATACTGGCCAATCAAAACGCTCGAACACGTTACCGTCACGGTCACGGAACAGCACTTGCAAAGAGCAGTTTTCGTACGACTGTGATAAAGTCGGTGCTGTATGTGTGCCTTAATTGGCTGATTTTTTCACGCGCAATGTAATTGGTCTGGCAGTGCCGTGACATTGCTGTGACCGGTGTTTACGCCGTGTTCATGCCGTGTTTCGGGCATTTGATTGAGTAAATTCTCGAGCAATGTGATTCAAGGTCTGGTGCCGTATGCCTTGCCGTGTCACGTCCGTAGTGTTCATGCCGTGAGCTTTTCACAGTCAAACGAAAATTGCTCTAACGTAACGTTTCTCATAGTTAAACGATATCTGCTCTATTAATTTTGAAAATAAGGTAGAAATGTGTCGCTCCGTGACAATGACGGTGCAGCGCTATGATTGGCTTAACAGGGGAAGGCTCTTGTGAACCGTGAACATGCCGCGCGCTACCTTTTTTCTTCTCAAAACCCCAGCGTAAGTGCATTTCATACATCGGTAATATACTATAAATTTAGCAATAATTTAAATATTGTATTTCTTTCTCTACTTTAAAATAATTCGATAAGTATTGCCATCTCGCTCTGAAAAAGAAAAAGTACGATTCCATAAGCAATAAATCTGATGATTAAGTCGTATTGCGAGAGACACCTTTAGCTTGGGTTTCATAAATGTTTTCCCATTTCATAACACATGAAAATTCTCTAGAGTATCATTTCTTTATTTAATGGTTAAAGAATATTGTTCTCAAGAGAATGACACGTGGTTTAAATGGGAAAACATAGAGGTCCTTTGAAGGTTTGCAATCGTTACACCCAAGAGACTGTCAAATGACAGAGACATGGCGGCCATGATCGTGGTATTAACCATTGAAGATAATAAGTTCATGTTCTAGTGGAATACAATGCATATATTGTATAGTAGTGTATTGTTTTATATTGTGTACTATTGTTTCTAGAACATGACACGTACTATCCAATTAAAACACTTATTGACTGGGATCGATGGAAACAGTTGCTTTCCGGAAGTTCAAGTCAATAAGTGTTTTGTCATATACCAAGTGTCAAAAAAAAAGCAGTTATTTGATTTTTTGATTATTTGATTTCGAAAAACTTAGAAAAACTCCCAGAATACGATGATTACAATAACAAACAACCCTTTTCCGATCATGTAATTCAAAATGGTAACTGGATCGAGTATGACTTCATCGCAGGAACAGGCTTGCCAAGTTTTACCCGGTAAGAAACTCTCTAAAACCCAAGAGAGCTTACCTCTTAACAGTTGTAATACGAAGTGAGCTTCATCGCCGAAGTTTCTGATCATCTGCAGAACAAAGTAGTTACAAGGACTTTTTTAGACTTTGACTGCAAAAGGTTTGGGAATTCTTTTGGGATTTTGGAAGTTTTGTTAGTTTCAGTCAAGGAGGTTTTAACAATGAAGGTCGTCCTACCTGGTCATCGACCAAAATGTAAATACCCGTCGGGCCTTGCCTGCAAATGCAATACAAGTAATTCAAAAACAGGTACGTAGTTTGCAATCATTCTCAAGAGAATAAAATACGACATGGTGATCACGTTGGTTGATATAACAAGGACTAATAACAAATATCTTGTTAAATCATATATTTATATAAATTAATGGATATTTTTGATTTCGCAACTTTTTTGTTGCGGATTTAATAAAAATCGCGTCCACACGTAGCGTGTTCGAATCGTTCTAGACCGTCTACCGATACGTATCCGGTTATCAAGATCTTAAGTCAACAGAGCATGCGCACTTGAGCATGACTATGAGCCCGCGCTAAATATAACGCGCGGAAAACACTGGATCAGACACTGTTACGTCAGCGTATTCAAAAATATACGGATTCGACCATCTACATAACGCCGGATTCACACGGTATTAAAAAAATTCCACTCTGGAAACCGTATTAAAAAAGTTGCGGATTCGTCTACCGTATTCGCCGGATACGTGTGGACGGAAGGCCAATCCGCAAAGAAAAAGTTGCGGTTTCAAAAATATCCGGATTCGTGTGGACGGGCCTAAGATTGAATCTTTTGAAATCTTTAGTCTATGATGTAACTTTACCTTTGCTGTTTTCAAAAAAAACAAAACAAAACAAAACAAAACAAGAACAAAAAACAAAACAAAACAAAACAACAACAAACAAACAAACAAACAGACAAAAAAGGGACAAACAAGCAAACAATGTGGAAATCTTTCTCGCAGCATTTCTTCCCTCTACCCTTCTTCTAGTTTGTTTAACACACTTCCTTAACATATTGTACCTCACCTATATATCGCTACGATTTGATCGTCTGCTAGGCTACACTTCTTTGCTAGCTTGTTCGTCAAGTGGTTCACTGTTAAAGCCTCTAGGTACACCCCATGGTATTCCTTCATCCCCGAGTCTTGTTGAGTTGATTCCAGGGAGATGTATATGGTTAGCAAAGGACGCGTTGCTCTATAATACAAAACGTGAACGAATCAATAAACTGGTAAGATGTCCAAGGTAAGATAAGCTAGAATTTAGAGGTGCAGAGTTCGATAATAAAAATGGCAGTGGAGCACCCTAAAGGGTTGGGTGGGGTAGGGTGGTGAGGGAGGGAGGGGGATTACATAAACTGTTGCTTAGGGTTAGATTCATGTGTTCCAGTGAAGGTCCGTGGAATTTCAAAGTGTTTGTATTGTCAGTTGAAGTTATGCATTCTTCATCTTTCTGTTGGTGTTTGAGAATATTTTGACACTGAAATGAACAAAAGTCTGTAATCAAGGAACACAGCGGTATTTTACGACTTCGGAAATGGCCTGTAGAAAAATATTCACCATTTTCCATACATTGGTTCACTGGTCAAACACAAAGCGCTCAAGCGTGGCGCCAACGTACTTTCAAAGGATTATGCAAACTTGAATCTTGCAACCTCGACTGAATGCTTTGTGTTTGTCCAGTGAACCGATGTATGGAAAATGGTGAATAGTAGACAGCATGCACGTTTAAGAACCGAGCAAACGAGCGCAACATTGTTGGGCGTTTGAACACCATGTTGCGTGTTGTTGGGACTTGTTGGATGTTGTTGCGCGCGTTTAAAGACTAATCTCCTACGCAGCCGCTATTTGCGCACTCCCCTAAGTAATTTGTAAACAGTTCCTTTGGAATGACTGTAAAATAGATCATTCAGTACGGACGTGCTGCGCCCTTATTGTGCAGTGTACTTACGTACCTTGATTGAAGAGCATTATGCAATCGAATACCATCAGCAGGACCGAGTAGTTGTATTGTGTCGTCTCGCGATAATCTTAGCAGATCAGAACCTATGATACCAAATTATAAATAAACAATAATAAGTACGGGAAGCAGCGGGTGACGTAACGGCGAGGGTGCCCGTGTCTCACCAATGCGACCCGGGTTCGATTCCCGGACTAGGTTTTTTAGATTTTTTCACTTCACAATATATGCAAGTCAATAAAATGTGAGAACTATTTTATAAACACATTACTTCAAACTACAAAATCAATGCAATATTGAATAGACCTCTTTACTGATACGGCGGCGATCTTTTATTTTATGGGATGCCGAGGAGGTAAACACAGAGAACATCTATAAAGTATAGAGTGGCGGTGTTACGTTTTCAAATAATTTGAAGTCTTGGTGTTTTGCATATTGTTCCAACTACCAGCAAATTCAATTGCTTTTTAGATGTGCTTCTCATTGAAAAACGTAGAGTTATATCAAAAGACAACCTGACAGCTGTGCGAAATATAAATTTTCTGAGTTGCCCTCTTGGCATTCCGTTCTGAATAAAACGATAGAATTCAAGATGGCGGCCATGTCGGTAAAGGGGTGCATTGGATCCCGAATCATTCAGATGTAAGTCAAAGATGGAAGTCCAAAAGTTGTTGTTGTTTACCAGTGAAGTTTGTGAACATGTTAAGGTAGTGAGCAAATCGATTCTCTTGTAGCCACGCCCTGGTTTCTTCAACAGATGATTTTGATGTGAGTTCCTGACGGAAAAGATCCCAAAACAAAACAAATTAATGGAGAGCTTATTACTGCTGGCAATTATTTGGTACGCAATTCATGTTTCTGAAATTTCATGGTAACAGACAATAAAGTATTCATTTTGTATAGGATTGCAGTGAATAAATTACAGAGGGGGGGGGAGAGATGAGTGACAAAGACAAAGACAAAGAACTGCTATCTCTTGCCCAAACATCCCTTTCACGCAGTATAAGTTTGTTACCAACCATTGACATAGAAATTTGAGATTTGAACAAGATGATATGACTTGAAAAGAATTTAACCGTGTTGGCCTTCAGGAGTAAAACACCCAATATATTCATATCATATCCCTTCACAGACGGGACTCGAACTCAGGTCGCATTGGTAGGAGGCGAGCACTCTCACCGCTACGCCACCCATGCTTCTTGCTAATGAAACCCCAAAAGATGAAAGAGTTGGATAGGATATAGATATGTCTGTAAGATATTCCCACTGAGAACTTCCGCAAACAATGCCTAGGAGTGAAACTAAGTTATGGGGAGATGACTTCCAAGGTGGAAGTGAGCAAGCTAAGCTTGCAATGGGAAGCTTTTTCATCCTTTGTCTCTTGGAGGTAGGTGGGGTGCTTAGCTAGTCTTTTATTCAAACTCCAAACTGGTTCAAGTAGAGTTATTTTATGTACGGTAGATTATTTATGCCCGTTCCACACCCATGGGTGTGTGAAATGTAACTCTCGGGACGCATTCCTCTCAAGAAATATATATATATACAGTATACGTTATTTACCGGCCAGGAGGTCCGGATAGGGAAAAACTGTGCCCAAGGTCTTGAATATACCGTTATCAAGACCGAGGGCACAGTTTTTCCTTATCCGGACCGACTATAAGACGGTAAATAACTTATTTATTTTTTCCCGTATTTTTTTTTACTTGTTTTTGTAATCGTTTTGTTCTTTTGTTTAGCGGCAAAGGCCTACCGGACCGCGAGCGCGGGCAGATACTGATAAAATACCACCTGCTCAAACAGCCAATCAGAACGCACGATTTTTTAGGATACCGGACCGGAAAAAAAACACAAAAACTTCTCATATGTGAGGCATTGAGCATAGAGTTCCCAGTGGGAATAGTTATTTTATAGTATGCTTACTTTTACCAGAGTGCACGAAACTGAAGCACATTGTGAGTCTGCACTTGGTGTGCTTAACAAACTTGCTGAGCCAGGTGACGACACAGGGGTTGCCACGGCAATGGACCTAAAAACAATAATTAAATCAAACAAAATGGATGCCTGTTTTCTGTGGTTATCCTAATAAATATTTGGTTACCAAAGTGTTTGTTGCCGTTATTTTATTTTTAGAGGGTAAAGACGCATTAAACACGAAGAGTTATCTAACATATGGTCGTCTGATTCTGAGATCGAGTTGATCACACATGATACCTAAATCAATTATATAGATCTATTTAAAAATAACAATAGTTGTTTCGCGTGTTTTGATTGGTATAAATACTCTTTGAGATGATTTTAGATGAGAGTATCTAGAACGCTCCCATTTTGTTTAGTGGGCACTCTGAATTTCTTAAAACCTTATTTTGAATAGGAGATATGAAACGGTTTTCGTTTTAGATGGCGAAAGAGCACTTAAGAAGCTGGAAACCACTCCGCTACGCATCGTAGTTTCCTACGCTTCTCTAGTATTCTCGCAGCATCCTGTGTGTTTAGATCGAAGTATATAAAATGGAAAACGTCTTTATATTTCTTAAATCTAATATAAATATACCAAACATATTGCTTTGCCATCATGGTAATAATTGCTTTCAATTGGTGATATTGATGTTGTCAGTTTCTGTAATGATCATGATGGTAATTCATTTAGTGCTTTGTTAATGATGTTCTATCATTAGTAGTTATTTAGTTTATTGGTGATATTGTCCTGTAACCATAGAGATTGTTGTCATAGTTACCTAGGTGATATTTGTTTTGGTGTCATCCATGTTTCATCGTCTTCTGTCACTAATGGTTTCTGGAAATAGAGGAAAAATAGAATTTAGCACACTATTTAACAAATTGACATGAGATTTTTATGTGTCTGTCCTCTTATTGACGATAAATAATTATTGCGTGATCACATTGTCAAAGTAGTGTGGATCCACGAGGCGTAGCACATACCACTTTGACTTTATCGTCAATAAGAGGACAGACACATAAAAATCTGATGTCAATTTGTTTTTTACAATAACAAAAACGATAAGAACTTCTCATTTCTACTGATCAAAACAAGAGCGTGTGCTTGTTGATGTCAGCTTTATCTGTCTGTCCTCTTATTGATGATAAAAATAAGCAATCAATGCACGAGAAATTTGTAAATTATTGTAAAATAAAACATACACATCTTATACTAGCAGGTATGCAAATTTACTACCTCCTTCAGATGTGTGACATCGTTTGACATCTGAAACTGCCCCTATAAAATGATCTTATACTAGCAGGTATGCAAATTTCCTACCTCCTTCAGATGTGTGACATCGTTTGACATTTGAAACTGCCCCTATAAAACGATCAGTATCAAAATCCTTCAGTTGAAGTGTGATTTGTTAGCAATAACAATATTTACAGTAACATTGTGGCATCTAGAAATTAAACTCAGGAAAATAATAGTTACATCTAAAAGGTGGGGTATTTGCTCTACTGTTCCAGAGCATTAATCTTGTACTTTAAGACCAACGTTGACTGACAAGACTGTTGGTGGACTGTTGCCCTAACTGTTGGGCATGTGTTGTCATGAATCATCAATCTACTGCTACATGTATGTATAGGAAGTTTTCTAATAGTCCTCTTCAGCTTGGGGTAATGTTTTCCCATTTCAGACCACATGTCATTCCCTTGAGAATAAGATTTTTTGTTTGAGCTGTATCCATATTTATGTGTCTTCTCATGTGCAACCGAGCACAAACCTTAAACAAAGAAATGATACTCTAGGGAATGTGATCTGAAATGGGAAAACATTACGTCAGATCCGAGGAGGTCTATTGAGGGTTTATTACATACAATTTCATCTTGTGATTTGTTTTCCAGTTTTTGCATTTCATTCTTATGTTTTCTGTCAGCACCTTTAGACTAAGGGGAAAAAAAGGACAACAATTATAATTTTATCTATAAGAACAAAAAAGTTATTAAAAACATCATCTTTAGTGATCAAAACAATCAAAACAGTGCGCGCTGGTTGACTTATTTGAATGTCCTCTTAATATTGATGATAAAAAATAACCAATCCGCTTGTGAGACATTTGTGAGTTATTATTGTACAAATGAAAATGGTGTGCTCTGATTGGCTAAGCTAATACTATTATTTTTCAGTTTTACACCTACGACAACAGATGTCACCGAATTTGGTTCTCACATCAGAAAAACATGTCATGGTCATGATAGCCTTTGAAGGGCGCTTTGGTAAGGGGTTAGGGGAGGTTAGGTTCCTCCTCTTCTCCCAAAAGTGCTGCTATGCAGGCTATGATCATGCTTAAAACGTCTAACAAATCCACCCACAAATAATGTTACGCTTTGAGTCTGCATTCTTTTAAACTTCATGTGTTGGCAACCTTTTGATGTAAGGGAATGTGGGGAAGAAAATTATCAGAATGATACCTACATCTCGAAAAAGGAATGCAGGCTAGGAGTGTGAGATTTATAATAGTGGAGTTGTAGATGTTTAAAGCATGAATGTGACATGTTTTTTTTTGACATCAAAACCCAGAGTTGTTGGTGAAAGCAGTAGTAATCAGTCAGTCATGTACTCTACCTTGAATACTTTTATCTGACAGCATGCACAGTGTATTAGACCATTATTGGATGAAGACTCTGGGAGCTGTGTTTCAATCTGTAGCTGTAAAGGAACTCCACTCTCACCTCCTGAAAATACAAAATTCAATCAATCAATCAATCAATCAATCAATCATTCAAATCAATGAACAAACAAAAGAATGAATGAATGAATGAATGAACAAATGAATGGATGACAAACAAAAGAATGAATGAATGAATGAATGAACAAATGAATGAAAGAACAAACAAAAAAACTTATGCCAGCTGGGTGTTTTAGTCACTGGTGCTAATTGAATTTTTCTTAGGGATGTTGACTGTTTATTGTTAACAGAAAGTAAACTAGAGAACCAAAAAAAAAAAAAAAATTAAATCAAACCCCTTAGCAGATAATGTGAACTGAATTGACCTACCACTTTTTCCTTTGGTGAACTCTGAGCTGACACAATTGATCTGGAAAATAGAATCAAAAATAAATAAACAAAAATGAAAAAACAGAAAACGCTGTTATAAAGCACATGGGGGTTGGCAGAACACGAGAGAAGCATTAGGACACTTCTCAAGTTTTCTGCCAATCCCCAAGTGCTTTGTAACTCCACACTGCAAAGAAAGCAATTTTTTAATTTCTTTTATAAAATACAAATTACAATAACCGTTATTTTAGATAGGAATGACACAACGGAAACTTTGTGTGCATGCTGAGTGCTCTCATAAAGCACATGCTCCCTACCAATCAGAACGCGAGATTTATAACAGTTATTTAATAATATAAAATGGAGCAACTTTAGTGCCAACATTTTTATAATCATCATTCTCACTTACTATGATATATAACTTAGTGTCTTTCTCTGGATTCCATTCAAATGTGTATGCATTAGTGCTATGGCCTTCACTTCTGATGTTGCTTAACCCATTGGACATCGGAACATCTAAACAAAAAATTCAACACTGTTTGCATTTTGTAGCGATGTCTGAAATTTTTAAATCAGACTAAATCCATTATAAATAAGAACATATATACAAAAAAAAAAAAACTAAATAAAAAAGAGAGAACATAAAATAAGGTCACAATACATCTGATTCAATACATCACTCAATAATGGTAATTATTGAAAAAAAAAATTTAGCTTAATACCAATTTCTAATATCCTTTCCAGAGGTCTGTTGTTTCTCCATTCTTCAAATTTTTCTGCTTCTTGTCTTTGAACTTTTCTTTCATAGAAAGTCAGTTTTACTTTGCTCTGTGACAAAAAGCAAGTATTAGATTAGTGGGGAGAGGAAGGGAAAGAAAGGGTGAAGGGGAAGGGAGTGAGTTGAAGGGATAAAGAGGGGAGAAAGAGGATGGAGAGAAAGAGAATGGAGAGAAAGAGGAAAGAGGGAAAGAAGGGAGAATGGAGGGACAGGGAGAGATATGTGCTACACTTGATTAACTGTAATTCCTTTACAATGGAATGCACAGTTATTTTTAAATCAAGCAATGAGAGTTAATAGTGTCTGGTTTACACTTATCTATAATGATGCTCGCTCTAGCTCTAATCATACCTTTATCAAGCAGCCTTCAAATCTTGACAAATCACCAAGGTACTTGAGTTCCACAAGATATGACTGACCTACAAACACACCCACACAAAAGGTTCATGGGCAAATGACCAATAAATGTTCAAAAAAGAAAAGGGATTCCAGTGGCAGATCCAGGATTCTAAAATGGGGAGGTTCTAAAAATGCTACTACAGCAATTCTTCATATATGGCTCACTATGCAATGAAGGGAGAAAAGGGATACCATATAGGGGACAGGTGTGGCACCAATTGACTGGCATCCCATCAAGGGGGTACAGGGCAAGTCATGGGTGGTAACATGTGATGGACTGGCATCCCATCAGGGGGGTACAGGGCTAGTCATGGGTGGTAACATGTGATGGACTGGCATCCCATCAAGGGGTAAAGGGCTAGTCATGGGTGGTAACATGTGATGTACTGGCATCCCATCAAGGGGGTACAGGGCTAGTC